GAGCGGGTGTGTTCAAAGCTGGCAGGAGGCCGGCATTCAAGTGCTGCCAGAGTCAGGAGAAGGGGGCCGGTCGCAGAGGCCATCTCACAGCCACTCACCCACAACACGGCTTGCTGAATGCAAACTCAGGCACAAACGCACGCACAGCAGGACACCAAGGCTGCTCTGAGGCAGCCATCAGGGGCATGACATCTGCTGCATCACTCACCTTGGTGGAGGCGACCCCAATCTCGTAGCCCGCGTTGAGGTGCACGCCGCAGTGGGTGGCGTTGGAGATGGCGCTGCCCACCGTGTTGGTGATGCCCACGCACAGCGCACCCTTGGACTGCGCGCGGCGCACGGCGCGTGGCGACGTGTGCGGACGGGGTCGAGGTCGGCGCAGGGGGTGAGAGGCAACAGAGGGACTGGGCCCGATGAGGGGCCCGCGGTCTGCACGCTGCCTTCTTCGCCCCACAAGGGCGACGCCTCGTCGGGGGCGCTAGCTGGGCGCTGGGCGGATTGACTGGCTGCAAAAGCATGACCCCGATGGCCCGATCACTAACACAAACCCGCCGTCCCCTGCCCCTCCCCGCAGGCCGTGTCGCCCCACCTTGGCGTACTCGAGGGCCCTCAGGGTGTCTGCGGTCTCGCCGCTCTGGCTCACAAACACGCACGTGTCGTCGCGGAACACGGGGGCCTCGCGGTCCTGCGGGGTTGGGGGCAGACGAGGATGCAGGGAGTCTGGCGGGTACAGGCATTTTTGAGGTGGGTGGGGGTGCGGGGGTTCGTAGGAGGTTTGCACACGTCTGCGATTTTTGGGGGATGGTGCGTTCCAGGCGGGCGTGCAAACCAGACTCCCCGTGCGACAGCAGGGTGCCCGACTCACCATGAAGTTGCCCGCCAGCTCGACAACCACAGGCATCGCTGCGCAACCCCACACCGCCCCCCTCCCTCCCTAGAAACCCAAACTCTTGAAGCTCCGTAATCATTGCAACACACACAGCAACGCCTGCCCTTGCAGGCAGCACCCCGCCCAATCCCATCTGCCCGTCGGCGGTGGTCATAACTGGGCTCCCCTGATGAGGCAGCTGGGGACCGGAGGATGACTCACCATGAAGTCGCCCGCCAGCTCGACGACCACGGGCATCGCCGCAAACTCCTCCAGCGTCTTGCGCGCCGACAGGCACGCGTGGTAGCTCGTGCCGCACGCGATGAACACGATGCGGCGGCAGCGCAGGATGCCCTCCACGTGCTCCTCCAGGCCGCCCAGCCGGATGAACGGCTCCCCCTCGGGCGTGCCCGCCGGCGCCGCAGCGGCGGCGGCGGTGGGCGCGGCGACATGGCTGGCGGCCGAGGGGGAGGGGGTGGGGGCGGTCGCGGGCTTCGGGGCCGCCGGGGCCTTGGGGCCGGCAGCGCCGGCGCGGCTGCGGGGGAGCGCGAAGCCGCCCTCGGCGCCGCCGCTGGCGGCGGCGGCGGAGAGCGCGGCGGCGGCGGCTGCCGCGGAGGAGCTGGTGGGCTCGAGGTGCGTGCCGCTGAAGATGATGTTCGCAGCGCCAGAGGCGAGGGGCTTGAGGGGCTTGTCCTGCGGGGGGCAAGAGGGTGAGGGCGAGGGTGACAGCACGTGATGTGATGGGTTGTGGCTTGGGGGCGGGGAGGGTGCGCGCCGGTTGGCGCGGAGGGAGGAGCGCAGCGCGGGGCATGAGTAGCTGTTCGTGAGCAAGCACGTGGTGCTGAGACGCGTTTGAGGCGTTCCCAGCCCGGCACACGCCCTGCCCGGTCCAGGTGGCCGCCTGTCAAGACGCCCCCATAAGGCCCGACAAGGCGCGGCCCATGTACGCGCACCAGCACCACGCGGCCCCTCATGGTGTCCGCCAGCGTCTTGGGCTGCTCGTGGATCTCCTTCTGCATGTAGTGGTCGTAACCGCCCTGGAGAGGTTGCGCCGGTGTGGGGGCAGGGGGGGTTACGCCCGGGTGGGGTGCGTCCAAGGCGCTCCGCTGATAGAAGAGCGGGAGAGCGAGCCTGGCTTGCCGCTGCGCTCCCTTGGGACCTGAAGCCAACAAGCTTCACACGTCCTGAGCTGCATGCCCCTGGGCAAACCGCATGCGGCAGGCGACCACAAAAACTTGCAGTGTCGCCCACCGCCAACCCCCCTAAATCCCTGGACCTGACGCCCGCCCCCCCACCTTCATGATGGACTCCACCTCGGCCTCAATCACGCGGTGCTCCCGCACGACCCTCAGCGACGTGACGTCGTCGCGCGCGGCGATGGTGCTGGCGGTCAGCGCGAGCGCGTTGAACACGTGGGCGTGGCCGGACGCGTCGATGTGCAGCAGGTCGCCGTCCTCCAGGGACTGCGGGGAGTTCAAAAGAGTGGACTCACTTGAGAGAGTGTTTGCAGTTGGTAGGATGCACCCAGCTATCTTGTTTGCCAGCAATTCATCAGTCTACTTGGTGGTGTGCTGGTATGACTGAAAGGTACGCTTGCCCAGCTGAGGCCATCAGGGCGGGACCATTGAGAACACCCCCGGCCGCGTCCTCCAGAAGCTCTCCGACCCCCCCCCCCTTCGCAAGCGGCCCCCACAACCGCCCGCCATCCACCCCGGCCCCGCGACCCACCACAATCTCGCGCGTGTGCTTCAGCAGCGCCGCGCTGTCCGACGACAGCCACACCTCCACGCCCGCGCTGCCCGCGGCGACGGCGGCGGCGTCGGCCGCGGCGCCGTTGGCGGAGGGAGGGGCGCAGCGCTTGAGGCCGTAGACCAGGGGGCTGCCCTGCTTGCAGGCCACGAGCTCGTTGGGGTAGCGGGCGCTCTTGATCAGCAGCGCGTACGCGCCCTGCAGCAGGCTACACACCTCCATGGCCTGTTTTTGTTGGGGGTTTGCAATGGGGTTACTCTAGCTGGGTTTTTGGGCCGGGGTTGCGTGGGACGCCTTTCCTGGGGCAGGAGGGGCGCCCACCATAGAGCTACTCTCATTGTCGGTGTGCGGCATTTCGACGGCAGATTTGGACGGCTGCTGGGGAGCCCTGGATGACGATCATGACCCTTGATGCATGCTCTTTCCAAGACACCCTTACCACACATGCGCACGACCCCTCAGAGCAAACTGAGGCGCAGCGCATCAAAAGCGCCGCCCACCAGCTGCAGCAGGGACACGTTGCCGCCCTTCTTCTGCCACAGGTACTCGCACAGGTGCGGCACCACCTCAGTGTCGGTCTCGCTCACAAACACGGCCCCGTGCTTCTCCTGTTTGCAAGCAATGTGATGTGGGCATTGGCAGCGTGATTGAGGTCGAGGCGGGGACTGTCGCGCGCGGCTTTGCATGCAGGGGACGGGGCCAGCGCGGCTGGCGCATGGCGGCGCAGAAACGCGCATGCTGGCGGCCCGACGGCAGGGCTGTGCCTCGCAACTGTGTGCGCAGCATGGGGGCTTGCATGGCTGCTCAAGTGCCCAACATGCCAAACCACAGTCGTTTGCAAAGATGCCAATCTGGCTGTCAATACGCCAGCTTATGACCCACACAGTCTGCATACAACAACAGTCTGCTTGTGATGAACCAAGGCCCACCAGGAAGGGCTTCAGGACGGCGTAGTTGGTGATGATGCCGTTGTGCACCACCACAAACTCGCCGTTCGCGCCAGACACGTGGGGGTGGCTGTTGGTCGCGCTGGGTGGCCCTGTGTAGTGTAGAGTGATTTGTGGGGGGCAGCGGGCGGCAGGCTTACATGAGCAGGCCGGATGATGGCAGAGATCTTCTTTTGGGCGCGCGGGCTGCATGCTACTCCGCTTGGTTCCCTGATTGTCCTCCATGCACACAATTCCGCACGCGCATGCAAGCATGCATGCATGCATGCGTGCGTGCACGTGCGCGCGCACACACTGCAAACGCATGCATGCACATGCACATAGGACGCGTGCGCAGCACTCCCGTCCGACACAAGCGTGCAAGCTCGCATGCGCCCAACTACGTCGCACCGTGGGTGGCCCAGCGGGTGTGGCCGATGCCCACATGCGTCCCGTAGACCTTGTCGCCGCTGTAGCCGCACTCATCAAAAACCTCCACGGCACGCGCCCTCAGGTCAGAGATCTTGCCCTGCGAGGGAGGGTTTAGGGTGATGCATGCAATCCTGTCAGCACCGGTTGGCCCTTGGAGTCATGAACCCCAGAGTGACAAGTGGACAGATGAACATTGTTTGCTGATTTAGAGTTGCAAGGTGCAATGCGCTTGTAGCGACTACATACACGGACAAGGCCGCAGCCGAAGGCCTTACCGAGGTAACATGGGTGCATCGGATCAGGCAGGGCTCACCATGTGCTTGATCACCAGGGGGCCGGTGCCGTCGCCGCCGGCGGTGGTGGGCGCCTCGACGCAGACGCCGGCAGAGTCATAGCCGCGGTACTGTTGTGTGGGGCGCATGTTGAGGTGTGGGTGTGGGAGGGTTGCCGGTCGTCTCAGTGTGCCCAATGCGCCTGAGGAGTGCCCTCAAGGCCGCCATGGACCGACCCTGAGCGGCAGAGGAACGCAATGCTTTAGGTCAAATATCTTATCCATGATCGCATGCCACTCGAGAGACATGCGCGTTAGAGGGGGGTCTGACAGTATCTTGAGAGGGACTGAGCTGCTGGGGGGGGGCCAGGGGGCGGGGGGCGCCATCCAACGGACCTCGAGGCGCTGAAGGCCGTCAAACAGGGCATCGAGGATCGCCTGCACGGGCTTGTTGACGCCGTAGTTGGCGTACCTGTGTAGATATAAAAAGATTGAAGGGGTGGGGTGGGTGCATTTGTGCAACCCCATAGGACAGAAACAGCTGCGCGCCCGGCCGAGGCAAGGGCAAGCGGCGCGCGCGCCCGGGGCTTGGATCGGGCGCGAGGGCCTGCGGGACAGTCGCAACTCACCCAAAGATGCCACACATGATTGGATCGGGGGGTTGGTGCGGGGTGGAGAACACCTGGGGGTGGGGTCACAGCAGGTGTGCAGCAGCGGCGCAGCAGCGCGCCAGTGCGCGAGAGTGCGGATGGCGGATCGGCGCTGCAAGGTCGTTACAGAGAAACCTGCAAAGTAGAGGGCTTCTTCAAAATAATAACAAGTGATCGGACTGTCACACGCTTCGTATTTGGCGAGTTTTTGATTTCGCGCCTTAGCAGCTTCGTTTCGCGTTTCTCAGCGTTTGGCTTAATATGGGGCCACGATTTTGGCAAAACACGCATCAAGATAGACTCTACTTCATTGTTGCGGGCCGCGTCTCATGCCGCAGCACGCTGCCTCGGGCATGCACAGGGCGCGGCGGCGGTCTGCCCCGGCCGCTGCACACCCTGTCCGCCCCAGGCCACAGTCCCGCGCTCCCAAGCCATGCCACCAGTGCTACTGATGGAACATTTAGGGGGCAATCCAAACACTTGGCGGCGTTGCGCTGCCTGCACACTGCAGACCAGGGGGACACAGATTCCTTGCTGGGAATGCTGGTGCCCCTAGCTCACCTGCGG